CACTTCCTGCTGGTTACTTGCCTCAGGGCGGGAAATTTCAAAAGAGCTGCTTTAAAAGCCTTGGGAAACTAGCCTGTATTCATCTCTGCCACCTATAAGGCTAAAAACAGTCTCTGGGTTTTTATTCTGTAAGCTGCAGAGTTAAGCCCAGCTCAGAAACTATGAGCACTCGTTTTTAAACTGGCCCTTTCCCCCTACATGTGCACAGAAATCCCGGATGCATTTATGAATTTGTAAAAGCTTTAAGTCATTAGTGGGGGGGTGGGGGAATGATGGTGAATATGAGGCCTCTTAAAGTGGCTTTTTTGGGGAATGGCGTCATGTCTCCCTTCCCCCACCTCCTGCTTGGGGGAAAGAGTCATTGATGATGGCCTGGTATCTTTTGTTTTTTATTTTATTACTTTTTCAATTTTTATTTATTTTTATTTTTAAGGAAAGAAAAAGATTTTAAAATAAAGAATTATTGGCAATTGCTAAGAAATTCCTTTAATCTTTTTTACTTGGTTACACGTAGTTTACACGTGGAGGCGGAGGAGGTGCAGATGGTATTCTTAAAGATTCGCACCCTTCCACTCCAGGCTGTAAGGTCGTGGCTTCACCTCGCTTAAACATTCTTAAACTCTCCTGTGCTGAATCAAAAATTAAAGTAGGAATAGGAATTTTTTCTGGACTTTCTGCTGAGTATTGGTCATGCAACTGCTTTCTAACCTTTTCCCAGGTTTCATCAACAAACCTTAAGAAAGAAATCAAGAATCTGACTAGGCTTAAGAGAATCTCTTTGAGCCATGAGCATAGTTTAAATTTGTAGGGGTGTCGAACTCAATCAGAGAAGGGGCCAAAATCTAAAATCCAGCCTAAATCGCGGGCCAAATGGTTTACTGAATAGTCATAAACTGTCATTGTGATGGAAACGCAGCAGAGTGCAGTGATGACAGCACGGTGCGGGCCACATTGCAAGGCCTGGCGGGACGGATTTGGACCGCGGGCCTTGTGTTTGACACATGTGGTTTAAAGCATTTAGAAGGATTACCCATGTTTTACACCCAGCTAATTCAATTTCACAATAATACAATCCCTCTACCTTACAGTTCCTTAAATCTGTGGCGTGCGCAATTCTTGGGAGCGATCCCTTGCCTCTTACCTCTTGTTGCCTCTTTCGGCCCACTGCCCCACATTGGGCACCAGAATGCGGGGCCCTGATGCAGCGGGGATCTCTCTTTTCCGTGTCCTGCATGAAAAGAGAGATGAACGAACCATTTCTAAGTGGAGGTGGCCAGGGATTGAAAAGTAATAGAAATAAAGAGAGAAGACACAGAGATAGATTTCAAGCTGGGAGCTGGGAGGGCCGCTGACCTCCTGTGCTGGAAAGACAGGCTGATGACCTCCTGAGTCACACAGCACATCTATTTATACTCCAATCCAACAAGGGGTTTCACAGGAAAACAAGGAGCCTTGAGGGCCCAGGTTGCACCCACTCCTTCCTCCCAAACAAACACAAGCCAGGAACTAAGAACATCTCTGCACTCCCAGGGCGGGAGTGCAACTGACATGACTCTGCCAATATCCCGGGCCCAGTCAACAACAATCTATAAAATGTCCAGGTGTCTTCCCATTTGGCCCTCTACAATGGGAAGGAAAAACTCCAATGGTTTTAGAGTCAGGAATCCTGTCCTTCTCATCTTTGACATATTGGGTTTTGATGAGAAAGAGGACAAGAAGACCAGTATTTGGAAATGCTATGAGGCAGTGTAGACAGTGCCTGTGTTGGCTGGGCCCTGGCAGGGCAGAATGTCAAGGTGGCATCTACCTGCTGTTTCCCACCATTTTTTTACTGTTACCTACTTCTGAGGATGCAAAGACTAGGACAGTAGGCATGTGCACAGGCACAAGCAAACCCAAGGATTGGTGCCCAGACCCCATTGTTATGCGTTCTACCTAAATTTATAAATGAACATGCCTGTGTCTTGCTTTTTAGTAAAGATTCTCTAGTAAATATAAAAGATGCTGTTTGGTGGAAGACGCTGGTAATTCTGCAGATGCACATATACTTTATTCTGTGATTACCTGGGTTTATAAAAAGTTCTTTCTAATGATATAATACTAAGAGATTTAGCACATTGTACACCATGTGCCAGATTTTGAGAACATGTTCTCCACAGCTTGTAATGTCACAGAAATCACTAAATCACTATCCCACCTCTTTCCTTTATTTTATTTTTTTTTATTAAATTATCATCTTTGTACATATACCATTGCCCTTTCCTCCCATACATGCCCTCCCTCCCCAGAGTTTTGTGTCCATTGATTGTGCTTATATGCATGTATATAAGTCCTTCGGTTGATCTCTTATCTCCCCCAGATCTCCCTCTCCTCCCCGTTGTAATTTGACAGTCTGCTTGTTGCTTTACTGTCTCTGAATCTATCTTTTGGTTCTTCAGTTTATAATGTTCTTTATCATCCATAAATAAGTGAGGTCATGTGGTGTTTCTCTTTCATTGACTGGCTTATTTCACTCAGCATGATGTTCTCCAATTCCATCCAGGTTGCTGCAAATGATGAGAATTTTTCTTTTTTCATGGCAGCATAGTATTCCATTGTGTAGATGTAACATAGTTTTTGGATCCAATCATCTGCTAATGGGCACCTAGGTTGTTTCCAAGTCCTACCTATTGTAAATTATGCTGCTATGAACATAGGGGTGCATATATCCTTTCTGATTGGTGTTTCTAGCTTCTTGGGATATAATCCTAGGAGTGGGATTACTGGGTCAAATGGAAGTTCCATTTTCAGTTTTTTGAGGAGACTCCATATTGTTCTCCATAGTGGTTGCACCAGTCTGCATTCCCACCAGCAGTGCACGAGGGTTCCTTTTTCTCCGCAACCTCGCCAACACTTGTCATTTGTTGATTTGTTGATGTTGGCCATTCTGACAGGTGTGAGATGGTACCGCATTGTTGTTTTGATTTGCATCTCTCCCCCCTCTTTCCTTTAGTTCTTCAGTACAGAGGTTATTTGTTTTGCCTGTTAGACCACCAATCACCTGACAATGTTGTTGCCTGCCAAAATCCAGTATTATTTTTTAGAGCTCAGAATATCTTAGAAGTCAGGGACTTGCCCTGTTTAGGATTCAAAGCCATTCATCACCTGCTCCCACCTCCATTTCTGTATCTTCTCTCCTGCTTTAGATTCACTGCCATTGAAGGTCTAATTATGCCAAACTGTCTTTCTCTGTTGCCATACCTTATCTGATATTGCTGCCTCTACCCAGAACTCTCTTCCCATCTTTCTTTGTCAAGTAAACTGTTTGCAATCCAGAACAAATGAATACAACATACCTATTTAAGAATTCATACAAATTGGTGGTGAAAATGTCCAATAGGACATTGGATCCATCACTTAACTCATACTTGCTGAATACTGCCCGTGTAGAAGAGGAAGATAATATGTATAGAGCACACACACATACATGTTTATATGTATATAATTTCATTCCATGTTCATAATAATCCTGGGAGATGACACCATCCTTATTATACATCAGGAAATGTGTTCTTAGTTGTTACATAATTTTCTTAAGATCCTCCAACCTGTCACTGGTGGAGTCAGGTGTCTAGCCTGGATTTGTCTGACCCTAAATCTATGTGCTACATCATATTATAGTGAGCAAATTAAAGAAAAACTCATTTTTGCCCTAGCCAGTGTGGCTCAGTGGATGAGCATCGGCCTGTGGACCAAAGGTCCTGGTTTCGATTCTGGTCAAGGGAAAATACCTCATTTGCAGGCTCCTACCAGCCCTGTCCCAGCTTAGACCCTGATCAGGGCCCATGCAGAAGGTGATCAATTGATGTATTTCTCTCACATTCATATTTCTCTGTCTTTTCCTCTCCCTAAAAAAACAATGAAAAAATGCTTTCAGATGAGGATTAAAAAAATAATAAAGATTTTTTTTTTTAATTTGGGTTAATGAGGTGCATCAAAAACTAGTGATGGTGTAAGGGAGATAGAAATTGTTCTAGATTGATGGAAACTAAGTGGCGATAATAGATACAACATTTAAGAATTCAGATGTGAGTCCATAGTGGTACTCAAAATAAAAAAAAAGAAATGGGAAAAGTTCTTTATTTTAAAAAAAAAAATGCTAGTGGAGAAGGAATGTTAGAATATTTAAAATCACCAAGCAAAGATCACCAATGGATATTAACGCCAGTGGATGAAAGGATGATGGAAGCAGGATAGTTCCTTGTTTCTACATGTCACCGCACAGATTACTTATGAATTGCAAAGGGGAACCTATCTCTTTACAACACAGAAATGAGTAGGACCACATTAACCAAGCATTGTTGAGCCAGTGTCACCAGGAGAGAGGCAGCCTCACTGTATCTATCCTGACCAGATTGACCAGATGCAGTGAGAGGGGCACAGCATCACCAACATGTTATTCTTGTTAAACAGGTGTTCACTGTGAATCTAATCATGGGGAGACAGACAAATCTACAGTAGGAGATGTTTAGCTAAATAAGCAGCCTAGACACATCAGAGAACCAGCCAGATATAGTGCGGGAATCTTGATTAGATCCTACATCAAGGGCGGGCCACTGGAAGAACTCACCTTTTTCAGTAAAAGGTGCTTTAGAACTTCTTCAAGGTTCATCTCAAGTTTCCGTCACCACCACACCAAGATGATACAGGAGAGCCAGTGGCTCTCCCCTGAAGTGCAATATTGTTACTTCTCATATTTAGTGAAGTTTTGCCACTCTCAGACCAGTGTCCTCACCTGGCCTCCATCAAATCCGTGACTTTGTTGACTCCTCTGGCTCCTGACCTGCATGGGGGGAGGGGTACTGTCCCTCCTTTCACTGAAATGAGCAGCTGCTGCCTTGGGTGCTTAGATAGCCCTTCCATCAATGCCTTTCTCCCTCCCTGCACCTCCATCGTCCACACAGCATGGATTCAGTTCCTATAGTTTGTCATAGAACTTTGCTTTTTTGCTTATCTTGCAGGTTCAAGTGTGAATGGCCTGGAGGAGCCCAGCATTGCCAAGAGACTGAGGGGCACTCCTGAAAGGATTGAGCTAGAGAACTACCGCCTGTCTGTGAAGCAGGCAGAGGAGCTGCAGGAAGTGCCTGAGGAGACACAAGCTGAGCACAACCTGAGCAGTGTGCTAGACAAGGGCCTGGAGGAGGACGTGGCCAGCAGGTCAGCCTGGCTGGGAGCTGAGGCCTGGTTTTCCTGTATGTTGCTCGTACCAGTAGCTTTCCCAGCAGCCTCTTCCCCTATTTGGGGAAAGCAGCATAGCACCTGCCAACAGCATGGGATCTGAACCAGACTGCCTGGGTTTGAATCTTGTCTGTGCCACCCAGCAGCTGTTTGACACTAGTCAAGTTATGTCACCTCTGTGTGCTTCTGTTTTCTCATCTGTGAAACAAGGGCAATACTAGCCCCTTCCTCACAGATTTGGTGTGAGGTTTAAATGTATATAAAGTGTTTAAAACAGTATAAGCACACCTTGTTTATTACACTTTGCTTTATTGTGCTTCATAGAAGTTGTATTTTTTCACAAATTGAAGACAAGGCTCTCCACCAACACAAAGATTATGGCTCACTTTATTGTGATACCTGCTTTAATTCAGTCACCTTGAACTGAACCCACAATTCAAGGTCTGCTTGTGCTCAGGCACATGTAAGCACTGTCTTTATTACTTTGCATAATGCTGGACCATTTACAAGGGACTTCTGTCTCCATCACCTCACTTGGTCATCCTCTCAGGAATCCTGTAAAGAAAATATATCTTTTCACTATATAGGTAAAGTAGTAATGGTGACTGAGATAAGGATTAAGGATTGACTAAGATTCAAACTCATGTTTTCTGAGTCCAAGATTCTTCCTGGTTTCCCTACTGCCTGCTGATTCCTCCTCCCCTATTCCATTTAGGTTAACCAGTAAAGATCACAATCCATATGACTTAATGCAGAGATTCAGTATTTATTGAACACCTATCAAGTTACGTTTTGTTATTCATTGAAAAGTAACAGAAAAAATAGTGACAGAAACAGATGCTTCCCTCTGGTTATTATTTACAAATATAGTGGAGGGAAAAGAATTCCACACAGGAACAACAGTAGACCTGAAGCAGTGTGCTATTGGGAGCTGGCGGTTCAGTGGAAGGAGCACCAGGAGTGGAATAGCTGGCTTCTGTTACAACTTAGCCACCATCTCACTGTGCTATTTTGTGAAAGCTGCGTCACCACTCTGGGCTTTATTCTTTCCCCTATACATAAAGAGAGGAGCAGAATATTTGTGTCCCAGGAGCCACACAGCAACCAGTGACTTTATTCTTGGCCAGTCCCAGTGTTTTCATTATGTCTAACTGAGTGATGTCTTTGGTGAACATGCATGCTCCAACCCCTACCACACCCCTGTATTTGCTGTCTGTACCCAATACCTTGTTCTCAATACCTGCCCAGGCCTGTCAGTGTCAGTACAGAAGGATTCAAAGTGCTTAATAGAAGATTATCAAGGAGCTAGAGAAACAAATATAAAACATATAAAAGAGAAACAAGCATAAAAAAAAAAAGAATATAAACAAGGTAACATTTTTTTAAAAAGATAAATAATATTGGTATTGGCCAGACTCTCCTGCAGAGCTGCCACAGTGGGACCACTTCCCATGGCCCCAGACTGATGGACACACACTTCTTTGTAGCCATGAGAAAGGGAACATATGGGGATAAAGAAAACAGCTTTTTTCCCCCTCAAGTTCAACCAATATTTTCACTAAGCTGTTTGCTGGCAGAGCTCTTTTCAGCTGCACTTCAGCACCTTATCTCTGGTGCCAGACATGCTGTGTATGAACTGCCTTTGGGGCTGGCCTGACCAATAACTCTTCCATGCATTCTGGGGCAGCCTCCCCTTTGGTACCTGCATTTCCACAGCCATCACTACATGCATATTGTTGTCATGCATCCCTGCCCATAGAGACATACCACTCTCTGCTGCATCCATGAGGAAGAGTTCTCACTCACAGTCAAAGCAGAGCTGGTGGCATGGCCTCAGGTATGGGCCAGATCACTTTCCTACAGGAATAACTTGTTCTCCGCTGTCATTTATAAACGGGAAATTCCAGGAAGGCTAAGTCATTCCTCTACAGCAGGGTGTGATTGGATGGGTAGAATAGATATCAGCATCAAACAGTACAGTAAATGCCTTTATATTAATTAAATTTGAGTTTTAAAAAATGAAAGAAACAACTAGCATTAGCTGCATACAAAATAAAACATGGTCTCTTAAAGGGGAAATGCTCTGAGGAAGGAGCAGGAGACTTGGCCTTGTTTACCACAGGAAAGTTGTGAGGTACAGGGAGTGCATCCCAGCAATGGCACATTTTTGTTCCATTTTTCCCTGTAGCACCAAGCAGTTAGGTGCGTTTTCAGCCCTCAGTCCTTTCTTGATGAGGTGTTGGTCTTAAAAATGAGAAATAACAGAGTTTTAAGGAATTAAACAGTCCAATCCAGAAACTCACTTTTTTTTTGTTCGTTTGTTTGTTTGTTTGTTTGTTTGTTTTTGTTAATCCTTACCTGAGAATATTTTTTTCCATTTATTTTTTTTTTAAGAGACTGGGAAGAAGGAGGGAGGGAGGGAGTGAGGGAGGGAGGGAAGGAGGGAGGGAGAGTGGGAGAGGGAGAGAGAGAGAGAGAGAGAGAGAGAGAGAGAGAGAGAGAGAGAGAGAGAGAGAGAGAGAAACATCCATGTGAAAGAGACACATCAGTTGGTTGCCTCCTGCATACACCCCAACCAGGGCTAAGGATCAAACCTGCAACCCAGGTACGTGCCCTGGACTGGGAATTGAACCCACAACCCTTTGGTGCACAAGGCCAACACTAACCACTAAGCACACTGTTCAGGGCCAGAAATTCACTTTTGACAAGTTTAAAGAACTTTAGATGTTTACTATGGGAGGACAGTACAGTATGATGTTTCAGAACATGATTTTGTAGTCAAATCAGAACTTAATCCTACCTCTACTAGTTGTGGGCAAGTTACTTTGTCTTTCCGTGCCTCAGTTTCCTCAACTACAAAGCACACTGCACTTCATGGGTCTGTTATCAGGATTAAATCAAATAAAGCAACTGACAGTGTCTCACTGGCAACAGTTACTATTACTGCTCTCCTTATCTCCACACACAATATAGGTGCTCTTCACAGGAGGGATAGGCTGGACTTCTTCCATTCATTTCCTTAAGTAGTTTACCTGCCAGAAATTGGTTTGGCTCAAAACCACTTGCCATAGAAAAGTGCTCATCAAAAATTGCCTGCATCAGAATTGCCACAAGGACTTATTAAAGCACACATTCCTGGGCAGTTTCTGATCTAGTCAGTATGGGCAGAACCCAAGATACCTATTTCTAAAAGATTCCAGTGATGTAGCCAAAACCGGTTTGGCTCAGTGGATAGAGCGTCGGCCTGCGAACTGAAATGTCCCGAGTTCGATTCCGATCAAGGGCATGTACCTTGGTTGTGGGCACATCCCCAGTAGGGGGTGTGCAAGAGGCAGCTGATTGATGATTCTCTCTCATCGGTGTATCTACTTCTCTATTCCTCTCTCTTCTTCTCTATAAAAAAATCAATAAAATATATTTCAAAATAAAAATAAATAAAAAAATAAAAGATTCCAGTGATGCTATGATCTAGAAACCCAATTTTGAGGTCCAACACTCAAAATTTTTCTGATAAATCTCCACATGGTACACTTAGTAAAAAGATGATTCCTGGGCCCTCCCCTGGAGTATCAGATATAGTGGATTTGAGATGGAGGCCAGGAATATCTGTTTTTAACAGACATTGGGTAATTCTTACTTTGTGAGTCAGTTCACACAATTGAAGGCTCTAGGTCAGGCCTGACCAGCTTATGACCCTTTTGGAGCAGGGAAGGGGGAGCATCTTACCAAGGAGACCCTAGAAATAGTACTTTTATTTTCTTTGGAAGAGACCAAGTGCCCAAAGACTGGAGAAAACTGGCTTTATGGTTTTTGTATTGTTTCTCCCTGATTGCTTATCTGGAAGGTTTTGCTTCAGGCTATGAAGATGGCTTGTGCAGTGCCCCTCTGCTGAAGTCTTTAGTGTTTATAAATTCCTGGCTCTAAAGAACAAGTCAGTAAGAGCTGGAGCTGACAGATCCAAATAGGACAGCCAAGGTTGTCCCATCTATTGCCTCAGAATTCTATGACAGGCCAGCACAGAGGACCTTGCCCTCCATCAGAGAAACACCACCAGGAAAAGCCTCTCCTTCAGGCCTGACCTTAAATATGTGGAAATTCTTGACTGCTCTTCTCTCTCCTGCCACATGCCTCTAAATTTCCACCATGTAAAAGATTGCTGGATGATGTTCATCCTCAGTAGTCTGCTCAGCTGGAGAGTGTTTACAGAAATTCACTGATTATAAATACATTAATTTAAAAGTGAAAGCTATGATTCCCCATTTTCCCTTGAAAACATCCAGGAACTTCAAGTGGAATTCCATACAATAGCCTGGTTTATTCATAACAGGGCCTTCCCAAATCTCTGGTCTCCATATTCTGAGGTTTGACCCAAGCAGCCAGGACTTGCTGCTGCTCCTCCTCCTGGTTTGCTACCCTGACAGTTGCTAGTGGCTGAAAAACTCTTGGGTTCTTGGAGAACCACTCAAGAGGGCATAGCACGAGATGCTGTGGTTGCTGAGGGAACCCTGTTTTCTTACACAAATGAGCCAATATCTTTACATGTCAGTTTTTGCATTTATGAAAATGGGGATAATTATAGTAGCCATGTCTTAGAGTTATCATGTAGTTCTGTGAGCTAATTTATGTATAGTACCAGAGTAAGTCACCAGGGCATAATGAGTACTGGCTATCACTGTTATTATTGTCCTGAGATCTGTCCTCCTAGACTAGCAGAACCTCTGTGGAGTAAACCTCATCTTATTAGAACCTAGTCCATGTACCCAGCTGTTTTGCTTCCTCCCACCCGACCCCATCATGGCCTCAAAGAGAAGAAAACACCACACCTGAGAGTCGTTTCAGGGAAGGTGCTTTGAGATAAGTGCGTGGATGTAAATTGTAACATGGAGGATTTTTGCTAAGTATTATTTTACTGAAAGGGGAAACTTCTTCTCATGGACACTTTACCAATAAGCTTCGGAGGTACCATCTCTGACACCTGA